GAAGGGTCAGTGACAACAGTAGCCAGGAGACGCGTGATAGTAGGACTGGCAGCACGAAGAGAGTCAAACTCTGGGTCAGCAAGAACAGGAAGGGAGGACTCTGGAGGAGACGGCAACGGGACACGCAGAGGAGCAGTGGAAGGACGCAGCGCCATCTGGTGTGTGCCTGGGACCGCAGGAGGACGCGGACGCGGAGCACGACGACTAGTGCGAGCAGCACGAACAGGCGACGTACGACGAGACGCAGGCTCACGACGCTCAGCAAGACCTCCAGTAGGACCAGTGCAGGGAGAAGGAGCAGGCAGGGGGGAGGCAGGCTGTAATTGTGATTGCGACTTGACAGGCTGTGGAAACTCTAAGGGAGGAGCAGCACCAGTAGAGGGCGGGAGACCAAGAGCCTGCTCAAGAAGGGGAACGAAGTACGGCCTCGGCCGCGCAGCGCCTCCAGAACCAGCAAGGACAGCACCAGTACCCCGAGCGGCAGTACCAACACCAGCAGCACCTCCAGCTCCAACAGCGCCAACTCCAGCACCCTCAAAAGCACCAGCGCCAGTAGCACCACCAGCGCCAACACCCCCAGCAGCTCCAGCTCCAGCAGCTCCAGCTCCAGCAGCACCAACTCCAGCAGGACCGTCAGCTCCCGGACCGCCAGCAGCTCCAGCAGTACAACCAGCAGATTTAACTCCAGCAGCCCCAGCAGCACCCCCAGTCCCAGCAGCTCCTGTTTCACCAGTACGAGCACCTCCAGGACCAGCGGCAACAGTAGAAACTGCAGCTCCAGCAGCACGGCTCCAGCGGCGAGCAAACCACTCGCGTAGCTCCTGCGGAGAGAGTGGCTCCCGCCTCGACGAAGCACCGCGAGAGGCCAAACGAGCAGACCCAGCACCCCCAGGCTCTGCACCCCCAGACTCAGCACCCCCAGGCTTAGCACCTCCAGACTCAGCACCCCCAGGCTCAGCAACCCCAGGCTCAGCACCTCCAGACTCAGCACCCCCAGGCTTAGCACCCCCAGACTCAGCACCCCAAGGCTCAGCACCCCCAGACTCAGCACCCCCAGGCTCAGTACCTCCAGACCCGGCACCCGCAGGCTCAGCACCTCTAGCAGCACCAAAGTCAACAGCTACCTCGATAGGCTCGACTGCGTCTACCTGGGACACACCTGACGGGGCAGGACCCTGAGGGGGGAGGGGGTCTACCGGGAGAGGACCTGGCACAAGGAAGAGCGGCGGCGGGGGAAGGGGCGCAGCGTGGTAGGGGAAGAGACGGTAGTAAGGCACCGACTCGTCAAAGGTGACGTCCTGGGAGGACAGAACACGGCGCGAGGTGGGGTGGTAAAACTGCCAACCAGGCGCGTCAGGGGGGAAGCCAAGGAAGACGCAGGGAACAGCACGGGGGGACAGCTTGTCCGCAGACAAGTCGCGGACAAACGCCCGAGATCCCCAGACCCGAAACGCAGACGCATCGCCAACCTTCCCCGTCTACAGCAGGGTGGGGGAGGTCTCTGGCAAGGAGACCCAGGGCTGAAGGTTGAGCTGATGTGCCGCGTACTGAACCGCAAACGGCCACAGAAAATGGGGGGCAGCCGCATGGATCATGGACGTACGAGCGACGTCCATGACCATGTCAATGTGGCGCTCAGCAATCCCATTTTGCTGTGGAGAGGCCGGAAGCGTGAAGGTCTGGCGGATGCCCTGTGCTCGACAAAAGGCTCCCAGACGGACAGAGGAAAACTCCCCGCCTCTGTCAGAGTGCAGACGCAGAACAGGAAAGTCCGAGCCGAAACTCTCTCTGAGCTGGAGACGAGCTACGTGGATCCAGTCGATCAACACCTCAGTGACGTCGCCCTTGCTGCGCAAGGGAAAGACCGAGGTGTAACGCGAGTAGTCGACAACCACCAAAAGGAAGTAACGCTCGTGCCCCTGGCCACAGACGCGGGTGGGGCCCCACACGTCCATGTGAAGAGTCTGCAACGGAGCCTCTATCGGAGGAAACTCGGAGGAGTGAGGGGCAGCGCGCTGTCGCCCCTCGACGCAGGGGATGCAGGTAGGGGCAGGCCCAGAAGGTAGGGGAGGGAGAGACCGGGGGAGACCAGAGACAAGGACACGGGAGGCGATGCCTCGGAGACGAGGCAGGGAGGGGTGACCAAGGCCGTGGTGCCAAAGGAGAGTCTGGTGAGACAGGAGACGACACGAGCAGGGAGCAGACTCAGGACTAGACCTGGACGCTGCAGCAAACACCTGACTCGACGCAGCTACCTGACCAGACTCAGCAGCCGGAGTAGACTCAGTAGTGAGGGTGTACAGGCTCGACCCCGGCCGACGGGTGAATGTGGCCAAGTGTCGGCCTGTCCGAGCACACGTACAGTGGGTCACCCGCTGACTCGCAGGAGTGAACTGGTCAACCCCCCTATCCTGTAGATCAGCTCCACTCACCAAGTTCGTAGAGAACAAGGGGAGTTAGAGACCAGACAGGGTGCCAGAGGGGGCTGCTGGACACGGTAAGACAGTGGAGAAGCGAGCAAGGACAGGGCCCCCAGAGGGGTCCGCCAGGGAGACCGCAACCGGCCGACCAAGCGGCGTAAGCGTGGTGCGGTCTCAAAAGAAGGAGCGGGAAGCACCCGAGTCAAGGGTGAAGGTGTGTAAGGCCTGAGCCGGCGTAGTACGTGAGAGAGCAGACTCACCAGCACGTGGGGCAGCAGACGCACTAGCACCTAGAGCAGCAGCCTCAGCAGTACCTAGAGCAGCAGTCTCAATGCCCGGGTCAGGCGGAACACACAGGTAACTGTCACCCTCAACACTATCAGACACAGCATACATGGCAGCAAGAATAGCATCAAAATCAAGATCAAAGATAGCAACCCCCGCCCTAGACAGCTCTCCCCAGCGAGGGATCTCAGAGGCCTCAGGGAACTGGTGACGCCACGCGTCTGTCAGGCGGCCGAAGCAGCGCTGGGTGGATTGCGCGCCCCCGCACTGCTCACCAGCGCGGTCGCCGGTACGGAGAACGTAGGTGCAGGGACCAGTACCCCCACCGCACTGACGCGCAGCGTACCACTCACGAAGCTGCTGAGGGGACAGGGTCTCACGATTACGCTACTACTGCTGGCTCGGACCACCACCGGAGCCACTCCTCTGCGCAGAGCCGCGACCAGGTCCACTACTGCCGCCGCCGCCTCCGCCACCTCCGCCGCCTCCACCACCTCCGCCGCCTCCGCTCCCTCCGCCGCCGCTGCCGCCTCCTCCGCCTCCACTGCTGCCACCGACACCTCCACCCCCCCACCACTCCCACCACCACCCCCACCCCCTCCACTGCCTCCACCACCACCTCCACCGCCCCCGCCAGCCCCTCCAGCGCCCTTGCCCCCCTTTCCCTTGTCGGTGCGGCGTCTCCCGCTCGGGGCAGACGCAGCGCCGACCGACTCGAAACCAACGAGGTCGGCCGCAGCAGCAGAAGCAACAGAGGGCAAGAGGGGGGAGGGGGAACACCCCTCAAAGACGGGGGTGCGAGGGTCACCACGAGAGGCTCCTAGAGCGACTATGCTCTTCTCTGCTGCTAGGAGGCGCTCCTCGAGGAGGTCGACGGTGAGAGTGGTGGGGCAAACTGAGAGGAAGTGGTCCCTGACAAAGCGAAGGGAGTCAAGGAGGCGGGCGACTATGTAGTGGAGGGTGATGTACATGCGGGGGGGGTTCTTAGCACAGAAGTCAGCAGGAAGCGCAACGCGGTAGCGAATGTCACTATTGCGAAGGTGAGTAATGAGGTCAGCGACTGTGGGAAAGGCAGCAAGGTCAGGGAACAGGTACGGCAGCATGAGGCGGGGTAAGAGCAGCAGTGGCAGGGGAGGAGTAGCGTGCAACTACAGCGTCGTACAAGGTCTTAGCACTCTTGTACTGGCTAAAGTGCGCACGCTCAGCGGTCGGTAAGTGGCGACGCAGAGCAAGGCGAGCAGCAGCATCGCGTGTGGCCCACTGTGAGCGAACAATGCTGTCAGCAGTAGCAGGCGGGGAGGGAGAGACACCAGAGGTGAGATCGAACAGAGAGAGTCCGTCTGCCCTATCGCACTGGAGAAACAGCTGGAGGTCATCGACCCAGACCTCAAAGTCAACGGCACTGCCCTCAGCATCAAGAGTAAGGACACTGGGGGTAGCCATGACTGCAGTGGCCTAGTAGGGAGTGATCTCACCAGTCCGAGTAAGTAGGGCCGGGGCGCACCGGTAGGAACAGTAGCGGCTCGACAGTAGGGCTGCTCGGCAGCTCGGCTGCTGGGCGGCTCGGCTGCGGGGCGGTTTGGCGGCTCGGCGGCTCGGCTGCTTGACGGCTCGGCTGCTGGGCGGCTCGGCTGCTGGGCGGCTCGGCTGCTCGGCGGCTCGGCGGCTCGGTCACTGGGCCGCTGAGCGGTGACGGGGCCGGTAGAGGCGGCGACATGGCCGATGGGGGAGGTGACGAGGCCGCTAAGGGCGGGGGAGGTGGTCGCTAAGGGCGGCGACGGGGCCTCCAGGGGAGGGCGACGGGGCCACAGGTGACGGCGACGGGGCCGCAGGTGGCGGCGACGGGGCCGCAGGTGGCGGCGGCGGGGCCGCAGGTGGCGGCGACGGGGCCGCAGAGGGGCCGCAAGGGGCCTAGACGGGGCCGCAGAGGGGCCGCAAGGGGCCTAGACGGGGCCGCAGAGGGGCCGCAAGGGGCCTAGACGGGGCCGCAGAGGGGCCGCAAGGGGCCTAGACGGGGCGGCGACGGGGCCGTAAGGGGCCGTAAGGGCGCCGCGAGGGGCCGAAAGGGGCCGCGCGAGGGCCGTAAGGGCGGCGTGAGGGGCCGTAAGGGGCCGCTAAGGGCGGCGCAAGGGGCCGACGGGCGGTGCGAGGGGCTGTAAGGGGCCGTAAGGGCAGCGCGAGGGGGGCCGATGGGCGGCGCAAGGGGCCGTAAGGGGCCGTAAGGGAGGCGCGAGGGGCCGTAGAGGGCGGCGCGAGGGGCCGTAAGGGCGGCTTAAGGGGCCGTGAGAGGGGCCGCTAAAGGCGACGCGAAGGGGCCGTGAGAGGGCACGACGCAAAATCAAGATCAAAGATAGCAACCCCCGCCCTAGACAGCTCTCCCCAGCGAGGGATCTCAGAGGGCCCATGGAACTGGTGACGCCACGCGTCCGTCAGGCGGCCGAAGCAGCGCTGGGTGGAGTGCGGGGCCCCGCACTGCTCACCAGTGCGGTCGCCGGTGGAGGGAACGTAGGTGCAGGGACCCGTACCCCCACCGCGCTGACGCGCAGCGTACCACATACGAAGCTGCTGAGGCGACAGGGTCTCACGACTGCTCTGCTGCTGCTGGCGCGTACCACCATCGGAGCCACTCCTCTGCGTAGAGCCGCGACCAGGTCCACTGCTGCCGCCGCCGCCTCCTGCGCCTCCTCCACCTCCGCCTCCTCCGCCACCTCCGCTCCCTCCGCCACCACCGCCGCCTTCTCCGCCTCCACTGCTGCCGCTGCCGCCGCCACCCCCGCCACCACTCCCACCACCACCCCCACCCCCTCCACTGCCTCCACCACCACCTCCACCGCCCCCGCCAGCCCCTCCAGCGCCCTTGCCCCCCTTGCCTTTGCCGGTGCGGCGTCTCCCGCTAGGGGCAGACGTAGCGCCGACCGACTCGAAACCAACGAGGTCGGCCGCAGCAGCAGAAGCAACAGAGTGCAAGAGGGGGGAGGGGGAACACCCCTCAAAGACGGGGGTGCGAGGGTCACCACGAGAGGCTCCTACAACGACTATGCTCTTCTCTGCTGCTAGGAGGCCCTTCTCGAGGAGGTCAACGGTGAGAGTGGTGGGGCAAACTGAGAGGAAGTGGTCCCTGACTACGCGAAGAGAGTCAGGGAGCCGGGTGACTATGTAGTAGAGGGTGATGTACATGGGGGGGGGGGTTCTTGGCGCAGAACTCAGCAGGATGCGCAGCGCGGTAGCGAGTGTCACTAGTGCGGAGGTGCGTAATGAGGTCAGCAATTGTGGGAAAGGCAGCAAGGTCAGGGAAGAGGTACGGCAGCATGAGGCGGCTCAGTGCAGCAGTGGCAGGGGAAGAGTAGCGTGCAACTACAGCGTCGTACAAGGTCTCAGCACTCTTGTACTGGCTAAAGTGTGCACGCTCAGTGGTCGGTAAGTGGCGACGCACAGCAAGGCGAGCAGCAGCATCGCGTGTCGCCCACTGTGAGCGAACAGTGCTGTCAGCAGTGGCAGTCGGGGCAGGAGAGACACCAGAGGTGAGATCGAACAGAGAGAGTCCGTCTGTCCTATCGCACTGGAGAAACAGCTGGAGGTCATCGACCCAGACCTCAAAGTCAACGGCACGACCCTTAGCATCAAGAGTAAGGGCACTGGGGGTAGCCATGACTGCAGTGGCCTAGCAGGAAGTGAGCTCACCAGTCCGAGGAAGGAGGGCCGGGGAGCACCGGTAGGAACAGCAGCGGCTCGACAGTAGGGCGGCTCGGCGGCTCGGCGGCAGGGCGGCTCGGCTGCTGGGCGGCTCGGCTGCTGGGCGGCTCGGCGGCAGGGCGGCTCGGCTGCTGGGCGGCTCGGCGGTAGGGCGGCTCGGCTGCTGGGCTGCTCGGCGGCTCGGTCGCTGGGCGGCTGAGCGGTGACAGGGCCGCTAGGGGAGGGCGACGGGGCCGCAGGTGACGGGGACGGGGCCGTAGGTGGCGGCGAGGCCGCAGGTGGCGGCTGCGTGGCCGAAGGTGGCGGCGACGGGGCCGCAGGTGGTGGCGACGGGGCCGCTGGTGGCGGCGACGGGGCCACACGTGGCGGCGACGGGGCCGCAAGGGGCCTAGACGAGGCCGCGGAGGGGCCGTAAGGGGCCTAGACGGGGCCGTAGCGGGGCCGCAAGGGGCCTAGACGGGTCCGCGGAGGGGCCGTAAGGGGCCTAGACGGGGCCGTAGCGGGGCCGCAAGGGGCCTAGACGGGGCCGCGGAGGGGTCGTAAGGGGCCTAGACGAGGCAGTAGCGGGGTCGCAAGGGGCCTAGACGGGGCCGTAAGGGGCCGGAAAGGGCGCCGCGAGGGGCCAAAAGGGGTCGCGCGAGGGCCGTAAGGGCGACGCGAGGGGCCTTAAGGGGTCGTAAGGGGCCGTAAGGGCGGCGCGAGGGGCCGTAGAGGGCGGCGCGAGGGGCCGTAAGGGTGGCGCGAGGGGCCGTAAGGGCGGCCAAAGGGGCCGTGAGAGGGGCCACTAAGGGCGGCTCGAAGGTAGGGAGGGCACACAGAGCGCGACTCGAGCAGGAGTGAAGCGCGCTCCGGGCAGGAAAAAAAAATATCGTGGTGGGCCCTAGGTAGCATTCCCACTAGGGAACCTACTCGATACCATGACGAGAAACGAGAATTAATGCATTGAGCAGAAAGGGGAGTACAAGTAGCAAACCCTAAAGTGTTGTTCCCCATATGAACTGCCCCACTATAGCCTACACAGACTATAGCATATATGCGGGACATGTACAACTTTGTCGATGATCCCGAAGTCCGGGTAAGCTGTGGCTGCATCCTTCGCGGCTAAAGCCTCTCTGCCGATAAAAAACAGCAAACTCAGAAAGTGAGGCAACATCATATTGCAACTGAAAAGTGTCAATAAAGACGGGTTTTGTAAATCAACGCATACTTGTGCGCGATACAATGACATGAGACCAAGTGAGGTACTCTTGTACGCAGCCGCGCCACCAAACCGGTTTTACTGCTCGTCATCACGCTGGCTCCGTCGGTGGAAATGCCAGAAAACCGCATGAGATCCACTCCATTCCCTTCAAGGTGAGTCAGCAGGACCGCCATGAGGGACGCCGCGTCACACTTGTCGACGGACAAGTTGGCGAAGAACTCTGTGACGACAACCCCGTGCTTGAGAAACGTGATGTACACGATGAGATGTTTCCCGCGCCGCCTGTTGGTGCTTTCGTCATGTTGAATCCCAAGGAACGGACTCTCACGAATGTGTTGCAGTTGCTGCGCCTTCAGGTAGGAGACCATCGTCTTCATGAGCTGCTTGAAACCGTACCTCCCAAACCACCATACAAAGCGTATTAGTAAAAGGCCAAACATATTTATGAAGCGGACACAAAAACACTACTTACTTGCTCATGTACGTGCCGTGATCCTTCAATGGGAGATGCGGCGTCCCCATCTCTGCCATGAACTGAACGAGGGAAACAAAGAGGGCGATCGGAGCTTCATATTTGCAAATGAAGTGCGCGATTAACAGCAACTTGAAGAGGCGCTCAGACTCTGGATCATCTTTTGCAAACTCTGCAATCGACGGCTGCTTCGGTTTCTTCCCCTCGCGTAGCTCCTTCCTCTCGAGCGCTGCTTCGTGCTTGATGCTGTGCTGATGCTTCCGCATAGTCTGCTTCTGGATTTCAATCCCGCCTTCGCCATTCCTCCCGTACTTGTAGTCGGGGTCGCCATAGGCAATGCAAACCGTACACTTTATGCACGGGCGTCCCTCGCTGGTCTGTGAAATAATTAGCCACGGAAAGTACCGTGACCACTGCTCCTTGGCCTTCAACTGGAGCTCTTCCACAGTCAGAGGGAACGGCCCGTCGTCAGTTGAAGGAGCTGCACGCGTGTCACGTTTGTCCTCAGCATCCGGTGCGAAGGGTGCGGTGGTGGCATGCCGACCAAAAGACAGCTTCCGCTGCTTGTACTTCTTTGAGCCTGGAAAACGCGAAGGAAGGAATGGGGCACGAGTGTTTTTACAAACATCAGCGGGCGATGTCAACGGAACCGAAGTGGTGCGAACGGGAGAGCGTGTTGCAAAGCAAGATTGGAGCGGCGACGGCGGAGGGGAAGAGGCATTCAACGTGTCGGCGCTGTTGTTGATAGGTTCAAAGGGGTATGGCGCATCGGGGGTGACAGGAACATCGACGCTTGCAGGTGCAGGGCTAGGTTTGGCCCTGACGCTTGGCCCTGTCAGGAAATCAGGGCATGTACGCCTCTCGGTAGCGACGGCATCAACGGGAGAGGTAGTACTAGGAACGGTGGGTGGTGCTTCATGGCGCCCATCGGACGCCATGACGAGGCGAGAATGTTTGCGTGGGAGTGCTCCAGGAGCTGAGTCTCCTGCTAGTGTGGTGGCAAAGACTGCTGGAGAACTCAGCTGCGACGAGGGTAGAAGAAGCACGTCCATTCCGTGCTCATCCCATGGCGACGCGCCCCCTCTGGCTGACTGTGGCAGAACGTCGGTGCCACCCACGCCTCACGGTGGATGGCAGGCCACCTGCCAGCACGTATGCGCTGGCAGCATCGCGCCACCCTACAAGGTCGTCTTCTTGTATGCGTGCGCTGCACCTCGGCAACTTCTGAGTCAGAAGTTGCCAGAGCCGTGTAGCAGTTACAGCCATTCTGCGCTGGCACGCCAAATCATAAATGCGGTGTGAATGCCCCGCAACCCACAGTGTGTGGACGAGTGGGCCAGTGGACTCGTGGGCCAGTGGACCATAGGGACTGTGGGCCAGTGGGCTCGGTTGTCAGTATCAGACGGAAAAAAACGCGCTGTGTGTCGATCCAGACGAAACGTATAAGCGTGTCTTAAATTTCAGATGAACATATAATACAAATCTTACAGTTCAGATGAAATTTTAGACCCTGTCTTGAATCTCAAATGAACATACAAAATTGAGTCTGATTTGCAGACCATCAGACCATTTTCGTCTGCTATCGACGTTCCTGCTTGGGAGCTTCTATAGACTCAGAATTCACTCCTGAGATACGCTTCGATAGCATGACTAATGACAGTAGCGTGTTCCTACGGCTCCCTATCAGGCCAACCCCTATGGTAGTTAGACTCAGGCCAACGTATATCCAAGGCGACTTCTTATCTGAGCCTTTTCTTGATTTTGGTAGCGGTTCGAAGCGATTAATGAAACCAGCCTTTATAAAGGGTACGCTCTATGGGCGAGGAACAACCTGAAGTGAGTTGAACAGGTAGATGTGTCAATTACTGTGTTTCTGTACGTTATATTTCGGTTTAGAGCGGCGAGCGTCCGAGACTGTCTTCTCAGGGATTTTCACTTTGGGCATTTATCTTAGCGGTAACACTCATTGGGGTCGATCGCACGCAAGGTAAGCCACGTGTCCGAATCGTAACTAAAGTATCTTCCGATTGCCTCCATGGTAACCAACGTGCCAGTTTGGTCAACATTATTTCCAGAATGGTAATGAACAGTGCATTCCGAAATCCCAACTGGTAACTCGTCAGAACATCCGCGATGTACACCGTACGTACCCTGTATGACTCAGATTTGAACGTACAACACAACCAATTTCTGTAGTTCCCAACCCAATTCCCTTACCCAAATCGTCCCGCTACCTCCTAACCCTAATCACACCAACAGATCATAACACCAAGTTAGTAGTCACCCTGGTGAACGCTGATCTGTCGACAATGGTGCGCAGCGCCCCATATAGGTATGTCCCCGACCCGTGGTCTTCACATCGTAGTCATTGTTGTGTGCGCCTATAGTTCCCTACACGAGCATGGCGCCGCAATCGGCGCTGCGCCATGCAGCCAAGGCATGGCGCAGCCCGCAAATGCGCCATGCCAAGGCATGGCGCAGCCCGCAAATGCGCCATGCCTTGGCATGGCGCCGCAATCGGCGCTGCGCCATGCAGCCAAGGCATGGCGCAGCCCACAAATGCGCCATGCCAAGGCATGGCGCCGCAATCGGCGCTGCGCCATGCAGCCAAGGCATGGCGCAGCCCGCAAATGCGCCATGCCTTGGCATGGCGCCGCAATCGGCGCTGCGCCATGCAGCCAAGGCATGGCGCAGCCCGCAAATGCGCCATGCCTTGGCATGGCGCCCCAATCGGCGCTGCGCCATGCAGCCAAGGCATGGCGCAGCCCGCAAATGCGCCATGCCAAGGCATGGCGCCGCAATCGGCGCTGCGCCATGCAGCCAAGGCATGGCGCAGCCTGCAAATGCGCCATGCCTTGGCATGGCACCGCAATCGGCGCTGCGCCATGCAGCCAAGGCATGGCGCAGCCCGCAAATGCGCCATGCCTTGGCATGGCGCCCCAATCGGCGCTGCGCCATGCAGCCAAGGCATGGCGCAGCCCGCAAATGCGCCATGCCAAGGCATGGCGCCGCAATCGGCGCTGCGCCATGCAGCCAAGGCATGGCGCAGCCCGCAAATGCGCCATGCCTTGGCATGGCGCCCCAATCGGCGCTGCGCCATGCAGCCAAGGCATGGCGCAGCCCGCAAATGCGCCATGCCTTGGCATGGCGCCGCAATCGGCGCTGCGCCATGCAGCCAAGGCATGGCGCAGCCCGCAAATGCGCCATGCCTTGGCATGGCGCCCCAATCGGCGCTGCGCCATGCAGCCAAGGCATGGCGCAGCCCGCAAATGCGCCATGCCTT